TACATGTTCTCATATTTATTGTTTTGGGATTCTGAAATAATAAAATTGAAAATGATTCTATAAAAAACATATTTCATATTAAAACAAATCCATTTGAAAAAAAAAACATAAAAATTTGGCTTAATAGTTTTAAATAAAATATACTGTTACATAAAAAGCTTTCCCTTTTTTTCAACTATTTATTTATTTTATAGGAAGCCAACATAATGTACAATGATCTTACAAAGTACACTACAATAATTATAAGCTAACTCAGCATGCATTCACAAAAAACTATACAACGTATAACATAATTAACGCACACACTCAAATACCCCAATGCGAATATAATAATATAAACGCAATGCATACACCAAATATTATTTATATGTGCGTTAGCATTTTTTATTTGTGAAATTGGTTGTCCCAATTTCGTACAAATAATATGGTCAGCTATTCACCAACACTCCGCTGCACACGCACACACAGACAGATGATTCTTCTTTCCATCACACTTCTCTGGCTTAAGATTGTCGACATTGAATTTTTTTTAATGTGAAGCCAATATTTTATAATAACTGTTTTGTTAAATTAAATTTGTAAATAAGAATTATTAAACAGCTGATAACGCGTGATTTGATTAGTCATGAATATCAGATTATCAAAGTTTTTTAGATGCGGAGATTATTATTTTGACTCAAGAATATTTTCATTATATGTATTATATATTAGTATTCCTTTTTAAAACCGTGTCATTTCAATGTATTATATGTATCTAACACAGATATAAGTTCTTTAATAAATGTTTTAACACGCTTATATTAGCTTGGGCTGTATGTACGTATGTATGTGTGTATGTAACGGGATCTTTGAGCACGATGTTCACCTGTGTCTAAACATCTGATTAACTTGAAACTTTGCATATATCTCAAGGACCAATGACAATGCAATAATTCGTTAACAATTTCCCAAATTCCAATGGTTACAGTACAATTTACTTACATTAAACGTCTCAAAAACCTCATCTAAGGTTTTTATCGGCCAAAAATAAATCTATTCGTTCCCATAATGTATTGCTACATTAACAAACAAACTTTTAAAAATTCAAATAATTAAACTACTTGGGATTAAATTAAGATAAAAATTTAGCTTAGAAACCTCATATAGATTCCATACTTTCCAAAATAACTTCGCTTACTGGAGCTTTACGTAAATCTGCACGTTGTATTTCTCCAAGAGTACGAAACATTATTTACAATACTTTAGTAAAACCAGTATTAGAATACCTTATAGAAATATGGGGCAACGCGGCTAAAACACATAAAAAATTTGCAGATCTTTCAAAATAAACTTATCAAGGTCTCATTTCATATGGATTATTATACAACTACTAAAGATTTATATAAAACAACTAAAACTTTATCTATTAAACAAATGTATAAATATAAATTATATATACTTATTCGAAAAATATTAACAAAACCAACTCATTCTCAAATTACCTTTAAAACCAAAACCCATTCTTACCACACAAGGAACAGATATAAACTAGAAACACCTAAAACTCGAACCAAGTACGGCATTAAAACTATTTCATTTGAAGGAGCACAGCTGTATAACTCTTTGCCTCTAAGTGTTGTCAATCCAAAATCTCTAAATATATTTCAAAAACGATTAAGAACCCATATATAAGATGATTTCACTGATCTTGTTTAATAGTTATAATTTTTAAAATTTCCTTTGTATGCGAACTTTGTTCTTTTTGGAAATAAACTTCTTTAAACCTAAACCTAAGGTTTAACAATCAATCATAGTTAATTACTTCAAAATAATATTATAATAAAATTTAAGTTACAAACAGAATTATAGAATTCAGAGTGATAATTGACATATAAGAGATTATACAATCATTCTACATATTGGCAACTATCTATGAGTGCAGAGTTATGGAAATGTAGTAAATGCTTCCTATTGGGGATTCGACGAAGTTTGGCTTTAACAGCATTAAAATCCTTTGTAGTTGTAACAGCATTCGGTCATCATTCTGGTCTTCGACGGACGAAATGTAACTGTATCTGTTGATAAAAGTACGATAAACGAAAACGGGACTAATAGCAAGCTTTTACAATATCTGGAATATGACCGACGGCCCCGTACCTACTTTGTGTAAGGAGATCACTGTAATCATATTTTTTCAAATATCCTATTCTATATTTTGATTTGTTATTTGATAATAAACTCGTGAAATTATGTGAAAATGCTCCGTATCGAAAGAAGTTTTCAAAACAACATATGCAATGGGCACGTGTTCAAAATGCAAAGTAATTAAATAGTAATAGTACATTTTATTTTAAACTATTAAGACAAATGTTAATGTTTTTTTTCCCAAAAGGATTTGTTTTAACATGCAATATGTTCATTATATAATCTTTTTTCGATTTTATTATTTCCGAAAGCCAAAAGCAATAAATATGAAATGAAATTGACAATCAGAGTTATTGGAGGTTTAGAAAAAGTGAGGTTATATTGCTTTATCTTTAAGAGTTAGATGAATACACTTAAAAGTATGTGAAAAATAATAATTTTATTTAGAAGGGAATGTCTGATAAGTTATAACAAGGCAAGAAAGACTCAAAGACATACAGATATCGGTAACAAGTATGGAACTTTACGAGGAACAGGAGGAGTGAACTATGTGATAAAAGTCATAAAATAAAACAAATAATTTTAATGGAATATGTATTTTATTAATATAAAATATCGTCTAGGTACAGTGCAGGGGCTACAATGTTACTAGTTGCTATCCCACAATTCACACAGCGATCCATCGTTTCAGTAATATCCAATCCACGAGCCGGCGAAATAATCTAAATTAACAATTCCAAGTCAAACGTGCAGGCGAGCGTCGGTGTCCAATGTGAAAGCAAGGGTCGTAAATGGGCGGGTTCGGAGTCCGTAAAAAACAAAGCAGCGGTCGTTGAAAATGTAAAATGATCGGGAAAGCACTCGAAACGAATCAAAAACACGAAACAAGTCAGACTCAGATAACAAATAACAATGCATCTGGCATCGTAATTGTTAAGTGTCAACGTCATGTTGGAATAGACTATATACTGAATGATTTGGATCGATATGGAATCGATAATCGAAAAGGAAGTTTTAAAATAATATTATATATTATTATTATATTAACACACGTTATTGAAAGTTATTTTTATTGAATTGTAGACATATATGGTGTAGTTTAAATGAAGTTACTATAAGTTTAAAACGAGGAGTGAAGTTTGTTTTGTAGTTAAATAATCGAATAATCATTTTTTATTTAATTAATCCTTAATCGATTGCTTCATAAAAACAGTTATTAGCATATTTCTCCGCTTGTAGATTGAGAATTTATGCAGATTCTATGTATTTCATACAAAAAAATAAAGTATTTTTTAAATAAATTTTGAGCTAATTACATTTTGGGCCCACCAATTTCCATCTCCTTTTAATGAAACATAGATATTTTTTTCAAGTATTTATTCATTATAATACATGGACACTGGTAAATTTTCAGAGAAATGACGTCATTTGCCGTCTGCTTCCGTAATCGTTGCCGTATCTGTTGAAACCGTTGCCGAATTGGTTGAAACCAGTACCGGATTGGGCTCCAGTGTCATAGAATTCACTGCCGCCGACGTCATGATTGTCTGTGTTCTCGGCGTGATTGATCTAAAGGAGGAACAAAAATACAACTTATAGACTGTGTTGCTGTAAGAGTATGTAGCTTTTGCTTCAGATATATTTAATTATAATTTACCGAGGTGCGGCTGCTGTGATGCTGCCCAATATCATGGAAGTTTCTCCTTCCGCCATTGTGGAATCCTCTGCTGTCCAAACCGCTCGCACCAGAACTGTAAGCACTATCTCCAAAACCGCTGCCTCTACTAAATTCAGAACCGCTAGTTCCGTATCCTAATCCATCCATTGCTAGTGGATTGGTTAGACGATTACCTAACCTAGGAGCTCCCATTCCAGCGCCAGTTGCACCGAGATCGATCATACCGTTCCCGTATCCAACATAGGGTCGTGGCTTAGCCTCGAGTGCTACGACACAAGCGAGCATGGAGAACACCTGAAACAATTACATACATATTATATATATAGCTATGGAAAAGATTCATTCAACGTAATGCAAGGATCATATACAGATACAAGATTTTGTTAAATACCGTAAATTTCATTTTGGACGTTTTTTGATTTATTCGTTCGATGCTGACTGCTAAAGCGCGCTCAGTGGAATGATTTTCTAACAACAGCAATGTGTCTTTTATACTTATATGATTGTAATTGGTTGTTAATTATGGGTATTTTTATATTCAAAAGTGAAATAATTATAAGAGATGATTAGGGTATTAAGTGCGGTTTAAAAATATGTAACCATAATTAGTCCATTAGTAAAACCAGTCGATTATCCAAGTTAATAAAAGTTCTAGGAAACTTTATTAAATTAGGTGATTCTTTACCGTCTTAACTTGACATTACAAAAGTGAAAGACTAATATTTCCACAAATATAACTCATATGATAAAATATGTGCCAATCCTCCTAGCAATTCTGGTAGTGAACGCATAAATATTAAGTGAACTAATATCAGATTAACAAAGTTTTTTAGATGCGAAGATTATTATTTTGACTTAAGAATATTTTCGTTATATTATATTTCAGCATTCCTTTTTAAAAGCGTGTCATTACAATGTATTATATGTGCGTATATATATCTAATAAGATATTTACAATTAATTCAATTTATTAAATTTATACCTCAGTGTCTATTATAGTCCTAGCAAAAAAATAATTGTGTTCGAAATGCTGACTCTAGCTTTAATTCAGACTTTGAATATATTTGGTCACGAAGCGGTGGGTTCCAGCAGTGTTTCCAAGGGAAATTTCACCACTTTTTCCAAAGATTTTATAAGAGATTTAATGTATCTAAAAGTGACCGTAATCTGAAGTCTCAATAGTTGAAGTCTGGGCCAGATGAAGGTCAGTTATGTAGTTCATATAGAGTCGAGGATGTTGGTTTAAGTCAGGCTTCAGTAGTTCTCGCCTTCTGACTGAGAACAGAGTCCTGAGTTAAAATTCACCGTATATTTTTAAAAAGTGTATTGCTGAAAGGTTTCACAAAATGATTCAAGACCGTATAAACTTTGGCTGAAATGTTGATTCCTTGTTAAAAAACAGGCCTTTTGAACGATACATCCATCTCTTTATTTGTAAAGATTTATGTAGGACATTGAGTTTCATAATACGCGTCAGAGCCCTAGCGGGAATATTTATTTCTCAACATACAGTTTTTTTGCTTCCTACTGGGGATTCGACGAATTTTGGCTTTAACAGCATTAAAATGCTTTGTAGTTCTAACAGCATTAGGCCTTATTTCTGGTCTTAATTGTATCTGTTGATAAAAGTACGATATACAAAAATGGGACTGAATGCAAACTTTTCAAATATCTAATATTGGATCGACGGCTCCATACCTACTTTGTGCAAGGAGGTCAGTGCCTTTTTTTCATAAATACTCCATTGTATATATTGTAATGTAATAATGTAAGTACACGAAAAATATGTAAAAACTCAAAATTTAAAGATAAAGTAGTATATGTTTCAATTTTAAAACAAATAAAGGTTTTTCATAAAAGAAAGTTTTTATTTATTTTTATTTATAGCAAATCTTATAAATATAACAAAAAGCTAAATATTTTTTTTAGTATTATTTATTTTATGCACACAGTAGTTTATTCATAATTGACTTTAAGATATAAAGTCTATTACGTTTTTCCGGTTTATGCGATAAATTTACTCTTTGTAATATATAAATAAGTGTTAAAACTATTAAATGTTATTTAATATTTAGTTTTATTGTTATTTTTAAAGAGGGCATCGCATCCGCAAAACTGTTTTACAGATGTCAATCGGCGACAATACTACCTGTATCTGGTAGGCCGTATATGCGTTTGCCCCCATTGTCATAAAAAAAGTTTTTGAACCCAAAAATATTTTATTGATGAACCTCACTATTAAGTTTTTTACTTGGTGATCGAATTTGTTATATGAGACCCTTAAGACGAAACCGAAAAACGTCATCTCTGAACTAGTGTTAAAATAAGGAAAATAAATAATAATTAATTTTATTCAGAATATCTTTTTTTATGTGAAAAGTGGCAAACGAGCAGACAGCCTACTAGATGGGCAGTAGTTACCTTCACCCATGGACATCCGCAACATAGATGTTACGAATGCGTTGCCAACTTTAATTGTTGAGGAAAAGGGAGTGGTTGGAATAGGGAAATAGCAGGAAAGGGAGGGAATAGGGAAAAGGAAATAATCTATTAAGAAAATGAATTATACCATATTAAGTTTAACTCATCGACTATATCATTAGTAGTAGTAGTAGCAGTAGCAGTAGCAGTAGCAGTAGCAGTAGCAGTAGAAGTAGGAGTAGCAGTAGCAGTAGCAGTAGCAGTAGCAGTAGCAGTAGCAGTAGCAGTAGCAGTAGCAGTAGCAGTAGCAGTAGCAGTAGCAGTAGCAGTAGCAGTAGCAGTAGCAGTAGCAGTAGCAGTAGCAGTAGCAGTAGCAGTAGCAGTAGCAGTAGCAGTAGCAGTAGCAGTAGCAGTAGCAGTAGCAGTAGCAGTAGCAGTAGCAGTAGCAGTAGCAGTAGCAGTAGCAGTAGCAGTAGCAGTAGCAGTAGTAGTAAATCACAGTGTTAAGATTATTTTATTATATTTTTATTTTTGTATAACCTTAAAATTGTAACTGATTAACTTCTTATATTACCTTAATTTGAAAAATTCCGACTTAGTTATTTCAAGATATATTTGTCCTGAAATATGTATCTCGTGTGCGTCAAGTCACTCTGTAATCACAGGTTAGTCGCGTCCTCTTCGGGCTCACTATTCACATACTCTACTCGAGGTGAGTTCATTTTTTTTAGAAATACTTCATAAAGTTTCATCTTGACCAATGACTATTCTTTAATGAGGATAACGAACTAAGTAACCCTTAACTTTTAGTTACTCGTGAACTTAAAAGCAGTCTTATAAAACTAGACCGAGGAAAGGAATTAAATGAAAAGAATAAGTTAGTTACTGCTATTTGTATTTATTTTTTTCTATCTTAATTGTTCCAACGTAAAAAAGTAAAAATCTAACATACTTTTTGTACTCAATAAACTTTGTAATCCAAAGCGGATTAAGTGCCGTTTTTAAGAACATTATATGTTTTAACTGTATAAATCATGCAATGAATTATTTTAAAATATTTATTATTTATCATTTTTAATGTGTTCCTTATACTATACTACTAATTTGTTATAATTGACTTTAATATCACTAATTAAATTTAAGTTATACGTTTAAGAAGATTTGTAACTATTAAATTTGCATACGATAAGATTAATATGTTTATTTTTCTTCACAAGATTGATTTTCTAACTACTTACTAATGCAAATATTGTTTATGAGATAACATTAAAATCCTACATATTATTTTTTATGTATATTTTATTTTAAATTTACTTGTAGGCTTATAACTTGTACCAAACGTGTAATCTAATTGAGTGTAGTGAGAAACGGTCAGAGAGAAGCCACAAATGAGATTTATCTGTTGAGTCACTCACTGTTTGCTCCAGAACTGCTCCGGTTTTCGAATGAACGCTTCACGAATGAATGAACGAATGATTTCATGACTTAATTTACTATTTATTACATAGACATAAAAAAGAAATTAATAATTTTAAAAAGCATAATAAAAGATTTGCCTCTGTTACACAAATCAAAAGGAATTGAATTCAAAGTCGATCAAATACCAGATCCCTGACAGTTTTCATTTACGATATCAAAGCAATAAAAGCGCAAAACCAAACGTCGAAACGAAAATATCAAAAGTGAAAAATGCAATAACTCGTTACGAAACGACTTCAAATAAAATCGATTGTTAGCGCACTGTTTGATTAATGGTTGCATTCAATTAGCGGCGGTATTGTTTGAAATTCAAAACATCGGCTTTGGAGTGCCGCTGTCGAAGAATTAAATTGTCAATGTGGAAATTTTTAATAGGTTTTTGTTTTAATCGATCTCCAGTCATGATCACAGAAAGGTGTAGATAATATTTATACAAGTATGATTTTCTGTTGTAACCATTTTTATGAAGAAAACTGTTAAGTTTGGTGATAAATGAATTGTTTTTCTTTCGCACTTGTTCATTCTTTACTAATTCTGCTTTGTTTTTTCGCTAATACACATAGTTTAGAATAAGACAATCCAAGGTTTTAGGCCGTGAGACATAATTATATATGTATGTTTACATTGAATGATATTTTATAGTTCCCACAAATAACAAATTGTCCACATATTAATTGAACACTAACACACAATAAAATATGAAATTGAAAGTATTACATACTATTTATTATTTTATTAAATATATTTTATAGACTACGTAAAACAACAAAAGTTTTTATTTAAAGAACAAGTAAACTTTAAATAACAATTTCATCCTTTCTTATACTTTCCTGCTATTTGTCTCATAATTTTTATCTTAGAATTGCTTACATTTTTAGTGAAACAAATTTTTCTTTTTAACTGTTCTAGTATGCTTGATGGTTACTTTCGTCTATAAATAGTATTAAATAGCTTTTAGGGAGTTGCCTTCCTAGAACTTTTAGAAAAAAAACCGAAATAGTACTTAGTTATGACTTTAATAGAAATGAATTGAGATAAATAGACAAACTAAGAAGATTCTTTATATTCGTAATTTACCAAATTAATAGCACTTAAGTGAGAGTATAACACAAATGCTTATTAAGAGAGGAAGTGCAAAAGTCTGTTAATAGTCGATAGATCTATTTTGAATGGCTATTGTCACTTTGAATGGGTCAAACAAACCTTGAGTGGATATAACCCTTTGGCAAAGTGGTAATTTTATAAAGACTTGTCGCCGAACCCTTAACCTATTCCGTGCCAAATTGACAAACATGCCAATTAAAATATATATATACCCTGAAAATATTTCATTAATGACTTCTTTGAAGTATTGTTAGTTAAAAATTAATTTATTTGCAATAGTTCCTTAGCTATATTCTGTTCAATAATTTTGTCACTACTTCATTAGTAGTGTAGACAAGAAAATAAGTTTTATTAAAATTCCTCGCTCACTTGCTAAATAATCAGATTCATACTTGTTAAATTGTTCTAAGTCTTAGTAAATTTTCATGAAGGATTATTTCCAAAACAATCACATTACGTACTGAATATAAACATAATGCTAACTGTACATGAATGACATAGGGTCATAGCTGAAAGCCCTAGAAGAATCCTAGACATTTTTTATTTAAAGATAAAATAGTAATAAACTAATGTACTAAATAAAGAAAAATAAGGTTAAAGCCTAATTCTATTGAATAATATGGACACTTAGTTGTTCAATTAACTAATTGGATCAAATTAAGGTGATTTATTTGATCTTTATTAAAATATAAAACCTTTAAAAAAAATTAGTATAATATAATTCAGGAACTCATAAAATTTACGAATATAATTAAGAAATTAAAATGTAAAATTTTACATATAAAAAACGTACAAACTGAAATCCGAGACACAAAAATATATGATTGATAGCAAGAAAATAATATAATGTTTCAAAAATAATTATAAAAATTGACATCACAAAATGTTCAGACAGCTACTAACTATAAAATATAACATTAAACAATTATACATTAGGAAATAACTGAATTTATTTAAAAACAATTCCGAATAATTGTTTTAAATGCTGCTAGCTTTTAAATTATACAAAACAATTTAAAAATAACATAACATGGAAATGTTATTTAATTCATCCAGGCGTGTCTGTCTGTCTGGCGGAGCAATTAGGAGGGTTTCGCGACAATTAAGTTAGTGAGTTTTGACGTCGCGAATTTATACACTGGATTGCACTCAGACGATTAGATGTATTGGTGACCGTTTCAGATTATAAATAGACTTAAATTATGGTAACAGATTTTGTTTATAGTATAAATAGTCCTTATATGTCTAAGTAAAGAGTATTAAAACTGGCATTTAAAATAAATCAACATAATTTTCGAGTGTTTTATGAAACAGATTTTTTATGTTAAGAGCAATAGTTTTAAATATTTATCACAATTATATTAACAAGTTTGATTGACACTTTCTAGATTGGGACTAAAAAAATATCCGAAAATTTGTTTCAATTGTTAAAAATGTGTATAAAAGATCTGACTGATATAATTATGACAAATTCGAATTCATATAGGTATGTATAATTTTATCGTAATTTAAATGAAAGTGACCAAATTTAACATACATTATATGTCACATAAGTTATAACAATACATATTACACATAATACATAGAAATACTTTAAATGCGTAATAGTTAAGAAAATAATGCGCTTACTTAATGATAAGTAATTAAATAATGACAACAAAATATATATTTACGTTCGTTTGTACTCGTAATAATTATAACACACGTCTTAAATTATCTATTATTTGCTATTTATCATCCAAATTTTTAAGTAAAAAGCGAACAAGGTTGCTCTTACTACCCGGACATGTAAACGATGTTATAAAACAGAAAGTTGCATCGATATAATAAATATTGTTGAAAATAATAAAAAAATATGCTTTCAAAAATAGTGTTATATTTTGTTGTTAAAAACATTTTATATTTATGACTATTTTTTCATAACACATGGAATTTAATTATAAAAATGTATAAAAATATAAGCCACGTTCTCTTATTTATTTTCTTATTGATATTTTGGGAATGTTTATGTGTTGTTACACAAAAACACAAACAGAATTGCACACATTTCGTGAGTACATTTTTACATCAACAATAAAATACAGCCCATATTTTTTTAAATTAAATTATTCAAATGGTGACCGCGATGAATAGTAAAAAGTATGAACATTTTTTTAAAACTGTTTGGTATAGTTTTGAAAATGTATATGTGATGGAATCCTTTCAACAAAAATGCTCATTTAATGTATTTGCAACTCTCCCTACGTTGAGTACGTCTTTCGTGTCCAGTCACCACTGGACCTAACCTGTCGTTTGCTTTCTAAGATAACTCTTTATGCTGCATAAAAGTTTTTTCAAGCCATGAGTAATATTTTGATAAAATTACAATTTTACTAATTTAACAATACATTATTAGCTTTACATATGTTCTAAAAACTGTCTTTTATAGAAAGAAAGTTCCTAAACCTCTTGGTCGATGACAACCATCTGTGGATGAATTGCTTTACCGTTTCATATTTTGACGGGAACTCTAAAAATCAATATAAGCCGTGTATACGCGATGCTTTTATTAAATTTTCAACATCCTTCTTCGCTACATATTTTAGCAGTTCACGTTTAAATAACGGAAGTGATTCTCTTCTATTTGTAGCAAATTTCCTCTCCACTGTTATAGAATTCACAATTTTAGTGACCAGGCACTTTCTGAGTGCGGTAAATTTTCTTTTAACTCTCACTAGCTTTAGAGTTTAGAACAATATTTGTACATATTAAGTTTATAAAAATAAGTAATGATATAAATGATAAGTAAAATTTTTTCATATACAAATATGAATTAAGTTATGACTTTCGTATTTACTACACGGTGTATTGTATTATGTATATATGTATTATATTTTAGGCAACATTTCTTTTTTTTTTATAGCAACT